ATTGAATGCTTTTCAATTCTATGAAGGTGCATGCATCAGTTTTGTTTGATTGTGAGTTTTTTGTCGAATGCTTTCAATCAGAGAAATGACTGCGTCAACTGTTCCACGGCATGAGCGAAAATCATACAGATTTTGCCTATGTAAATCAAATTTTTTGAAATTTATTATCATGCGGTTGTTTATTTGCTTTTCCAAGAGCTTAATTAACACTGGCAAAAGGGCTATCAGTTAAGAAAATGAGGGATCATCGGGATTTCTTTTTTATAAACTAGAATCAGTTTGACCACTTTAAAACAGTTTGAAAAAATGACATTATCAAAACTATCGGGAAATTAGTTTAGGTAAAGTTGGTGCAACAGAGCAATTAAAATTTTTCAAAAAGTATTTATTCAAACTATTAAAGTCTGTCCTGAATTTTTCTTCGAACGATTATAGTATTTTGAAAACTTACTTTTGGCTATTTGTTATCAGATGCATTGAATGTATGTACTGTTCCACAGTAGGCAACCTGTCTTTAAACGCGCTAGCCAATTTTCGCCAACCGTCAAAAAGATTTTCCTTAAAACGTTCAAAAGTCATTTCTTTTGTCCTAACGGACTTTCTGGTAATTTCACCTTTATTTTTGTCCAAAATTAAAAAAACATTGTTTTTGCCTTAGCTTATTTTTCTAATTTTGTGTAGTTATGATTTTTCATTTTGCTAAAAAATAGTTTATTCACCAATCTACATTGTTTTTCAAATTTTTTTCTCTCTTCAGAATTACCACTACGATTATTTTTCTGTTTCAAACGATTTTTCTAAGCGGCACAATTTTTAACTTGAATATTTATCCAGAACTTACGTATTTAATTTTGGGTCGTTTTTGATATACTGGATCAAATTGACTTAATTTCTTTACAAAATCCTTTCAAGCTCTTCAAATTAGTCAACGACGTCTTTTTTTAACAAAACCACCACATTTTTTTGAATATTTGATTTTGAATAACCTCGTTTAGTTGCTTATTGATTTTTGGTTTTTTAAGGTTTTCAAGTTTAACAGTCTAATGATATGTTAAATCACAGGCAGTTCACCTTTATATCCGTCATGGCTCCTATAGAATAGATCTAAACAAGTTTTCGGTTGTTTGGTTTTTCTCTTTTTTTTGTCCCAGGTCGGCAAATTAGGGCTATTTTTTGAAAGAATGTTTGCCAATTCAACCAACTTTTTTTAATTTCGAGCAAAAACAGTTTTGAAACAACCACATATGGTTTGTTTTCTTCTTGCGTCAGCCTTAGAGAAGCCACATGGTTCTGCAATTTTTCTAATGTGATTTTGTTTGATATTGTGCATGGAATTAAAACTATCGTTGAAACAATGCGACATTTTTGTGTAATAAGGTGAATAATTGAAACTTGAACGTTACCATTCATAATTTTGCCTATGACAGTGTACTTTTGGTCTTACCTTGAACAAACACCAACCCCGCCTTCTTTTTTTTGCAGCTTTTTTCAAAAATAATATGGCCCTCTAAGTTGAAAAACCTTAATATCTAGGCCATTTTCCAGTCAAGTTTCAGTTAAACATACTGCCACTGGCATTTCTTTAAGAAGAGTGTGAACCAAAACTCGCGGCTCGTCAATATTTTTCGAGAGCGAGCTTGTGTTTTGCAAAATTAAGGATTTCAAGAACCCCATATTTAAAAGTTCTCAACTCCGGTGAGTCTTTATCACACCTATTGATCCTTATAAAAACGTTGTCAAGTTTTGTAACTTCTTTTCAAACAAAAGTTTAAAAATTTGGTTTGTTATGTGGCAATGTTTGCTTGCAGTTCAAATGAAAAAATGAAATAAGTAATTCAACAAAATATAGATACTAATTCCTTGTTTTTCTTTTTCAGTTGAATAACCATAATTTTTTTGTTGTCCTTGATGATTGCAAAACTTAAAAAATTATTTCAAAAAAAATCTGGGAAAAAGTTATTTTAAAAACTAAACATAAAAATTGAATACAAAACGAAAATAAAAAGCTTTGGGCGTATTTTATTTAAAAAGTTTGTTTCAATCTTTTCAATTGAGAAAAAAAGCCTGATTTTTTTTTCGTTCAAAGCAAATCAGAACCTGACACAAGACTGTCTACAAACTCACAGGTAGTTCAACTGCAAGGCTATCTTGCAGTTGAATCTACATTGGTCTTTTTTGTGGAGGCGCAAGCCAAATTTTTTTCTCTCTTCAGAATTGCCACTACGATTATATTTCTGTTACAAACAATTTTTCTAAGCGGCAACATTTTTAACTTGAATATTTATCCAGAACTTACGTATTTAACTTTGGGTTGTTTTTGATATACTGGAACGAAATGACTTAATTTCTTTACAAATTTACCTACAGACGCTTCATGAAATTAAATCTATGAAGCGTATAGTCTAAAAAACATGTGCAAAAAATATGCTCAAATTTTTGGAGATTATACCCATGATGACACCCATGATGATAACCAAAATTGATCGTTTTTAGGGCAAAACTTTAAGCCCGAATTTCGCAATAAAAATTGCACTTAAAATCTAAACAAGTTTTGTCTTTGTCATTTTTTATCTAAAATCAACGCAATTTGAGAAAAAAAACATTCCATTTTTCGAGTTTTAATTGCTTTTTCCAGATAATTTAAATCAGTATTGTATTCTAAACAGTCATAAGTTTGAAATTTGAACCGTTTCAAATAAAAATTGAACCTCTTCAAACAATTTCATGAACTTCTCCTTTCTTAGTACGTGGGCAAATATAATAATTAGATTTGCGTTGCCAGAAACACCGAATGTTGTGATCATTAATATCTTTGCAACAAAAATTACACGAATTTTTCAAAAAATTTTGTTTATTGATTTCTGGACTACAGTCGTTCTTTAGTGGAGATTGCACGTTCTGAAACTCAAAAGTTGGATAGACCCCAATACGTTAATTACTGTAATGATTAGTGTTGGAACAAGCGTGCTTTTATCAAAGAAAACCCTGAAACTTACTACTTCTTTTAAATGTTTCTGATAATTCATCGAAATCCTTTTTTTTCTTTTTTAAAAAAAAAATCCCTCCCAAAAATATTAGATACAATTTTCAAAACTTGTGTCGGCTTAGGTAAGATTTGGATCAATTTGTTTTGTCGTAATAATCCCATCAGGAACCATTTTTGCACTGAATTATTTAGTTTTCTATTGTACACAGGTGATCTCTTTTATAAATTTCTTAACAAAAAAAATGGTCAAATTTAAATCCTTTGAAATAAAAAGGAAGTCAAGGAACAATTTTTTAATTTCAAAGTTTCTAGCTTTAACCGCCAAAAACTCCCTCAATTTTTACTGGAGAACAATCATCCCAGCATAAATATTAGGTTATTTTCTTCAAAAATTGAACAACAAGGTTGAAAAAACTTCAGTGGAAGAGTTGCCACATGGTAGCACGCACACTAAAAGAAGTGCCGTTAAGTCAAAAAGATATTAGGCAGAAATGATATTGAAAATAAACTGCCACCAATTTAGTTATGAGGGTATCCACAGATTCGTATTCTCGGATAGCCAAAAAAAACTAAAACTTTCTTGTTAAGGGAATTAGCATCAAACAAAATCATACTAATTAATAATAAAATTAAAATAATAATCATAATGATAATAATTATAATATTAAAAATAATTATAATTATCATGATAATCATAATCATAATACATTGTTTTCAGGCAATTCCATTGTGGATATTTAATGAATTAAAAAACCACATTTACAGTTTGACTGCCTATGTGAGCACCATTGGACCTACAGGTCCGTTCACAGGTGTCTCAGAGCGGAAAATCACTTTTAAATTATTGATACTGGGTAATAAATAAACTCTCAACACTTGAAATCAAATCATTTGACTTTTAGCATAATTTATATTGGTCTTCGCCAAACAAAACTGAGGAAAGAAAACTTTAGTAGAGAAAAGAAATAAACAAGAATCAAGGAACTTACTTAACTAATTGAAAACTTTGTTTAAAGG